ACACAGGCCAAATAATAATTTTAAATTCTTGAAAAATAAAAAGTCGCTAAAATTTCAAAAATGGAACTAATTTAGTAAAAGATCTTCATTTAAATGAAATATTCTAGATTACTGTTTATGAAAAAAGTGTCATTTTCATAGCAGAACTGCATTCTTATCCTATTTAATTATCGTCGAAAGATATTTCACACCAATAAAAGTCTCTGAAAGTGAATCTATTTAAGAAACAGTTGATAAAATTTTATTGGTAAATAGTGAAAAAGGGATTTGGTTGAGACTTTAAGAAACAAAATTAAAAGGCATACAAATAAGTTTATTTTATCTTATGTTGAAGAGAATTTAGGTTATAATTATGCCTATCTACTAAGTTCTCACAACAAAGAATGAATGAAACACTGACTTTTGGGAGCATAATTTTTCTAGCAAAATTATATGGTAACACATCCTTCCCATTGCCTTTGGTTTTACAGCATAATTCCAAAGAGAATCATTTTACAAAATGCCCCAGGGCTCTATTAGCTTTGTCAGGGACCTCTCTTAATCCTTGGACTTCAAATTTTCCCTTTGGAAGCCCCTATTGTGTCACTCTCATTGATTTTTCTCTTCTTCAACTGTAAACTTCTCTAATTCTGTCAGATGCGTATGTGTGGATAGATTTGCAAGCAGTTCTACATTACTTTCAAAGACAACATGTTTCATGCTGGAACTTGTAAAATGTGCAATTTCACTTTAGATCTGCATTCTATTAACACTCACAGGATGGAAAGGGATAAACCCCAACGTCATCTTGAACATCAAAGGATATTTCAATAGAGGTTAATTTTCTGTCAAACAACCATTAATGTTTTTATTTAAATATAAAGTCAAACTACTATTAAATATTTTTGTGTTATGATGACTTTCTTCTCAAAGCAAACCTTTTAAGAAATATAAAAACTGACAAAAAGGACCTTCCCCCACCACATACTACACCAAGTGGTAAATTACTTAGTAACTTATTTACCTGTAAAAGAACAAACATGAAATATTTTGTAAGAGAATTAACTGAGAAGTAAAAACATATCTTGGTCTAATGTCTTAAACAATTAAAAATCTTAGATTACTTAGGCTTCCCAATCGTTTTTTTTTTAAAAGCCTCAAATTCTATCTTTGAAAAAGGGAATCTACCTGCCTTTCAGGGACTGAACAATAATAAATAAAATAGTAATGGAAAACATTTCAAGATTTCAGATGAAAGTCATTATATCCATATAAGTGGTATAAGTTATACTCTGCACATTAACTTTTATAAAGGAAACATTAACTTTTTACTTATGTTAAATTCCCTCCAGTTGGAATAATAATCAGCAGTTACAAATGCAAAGAATCTACGATGTCACCCTAACAACCACGGCTCTTTCCATTTCCATGATCTCTGTTAAATTTCTGCCTTGTCTACCAGTGGTACGTCAATCTCAGGCTAACAGGGCTGTGGGCTTTCCCTGACCATTTCCAATGGAATTTTCTGTTTTTCCTGATAACAACACCACACGTGGGGGTTTTGTCCTCTGCTCCGAACCAAGACATCCTCTCCCATAGTGAAGCTAATGGTTTCACAGCCACGTTCCCTGGCAGCACCATCTTGCTCACTGGCTCGGAGTAGGGTTGAGGGATGGGAGCAGTCCTAGGGAAGAATGTCACAGACTCCCGCTGCAGTTTTTTATGAATAAATGCTTTCTCAATTTGTCGTTAGCCTTTGGTCAATTTCCAGAGACCTGAGCTTTTGGGGGTTTTTTTGGGCAATTTTGTTAAATTTTATATTTGTTTTGGGGGAGAGGATTTGCAGCCTCTTTACTCCACTGTCTCTGGACATTCCACCCCCTCCTGACTGTAGTTTATGTCAGATAAGGAAAAGATACTAGCATAGAAGAAAGAACATGACTTTTGACGTGAGAGATACAGTACCAAGGGCTAAATCCAGGTTTCATGATTTGTCAATTATATGATATTGGGCAAATTACTTAACCTTTTTGAGATTCAATTTTACCAACTTATAATTTATAGCCACCCTTATTGTTATAAACATTACTTACAGACTACGGTGTTGTTAGGAGTAAAAAAGAAAAACAAAAGAAAAATATTACTTAATGTCACAAATGCCTAACAGGCACTCAACAAATGTCGCTTAAACCATAAACAATGTCAAGGTCATGAAGGTCATTAAGGTCTACGAAAATAATTCCTTAAGTGGGCAAATGAAGGAAAATATTTAGTATTAATACTTAGCATACTGAAAACCTTCTGATGAAGAACAAAGGGAAAATAACTTTTGGGCACCATAAATAGTGATAAAAACTCATAATTAAAGGACAGAAGTCCTTCCATGGGAGACATCCGAAAACAGATCTAGAAAAAGATAAACTAACACAAGCTAAGGATTTAAAATAGTACCTCTTGAAACATGGGCATAACTTTCTTTTCTTTCCTCCAAAGCAACATAGTGTGCAAAAAAACAATGAAAAGGCCGGGCACGGTGGCTCACG